CTGTAATATTTGGATCGTGATCCAGTAATATTTCATAATCGTGGTAATAAAATAAACCATATAACTTATCTCTGCCTGTACACCATATATAGTTCCATGATTAACCCAAGTGAGTGTCTTGGGCCTAAAAGTCTACCCAAGGGTCACCTTAGGTCCGTAAGGATTTACCTGTTTGATCATAGTTGTACCTCCATACTCCAGCCTACCCAATTAATATCCCAATAAAACAGTTCAAGTAATACCAGTGAAAATAAGAAACCATAATTCATATACCAGTACATTTCATGATTCCATAAATCGGAAACAATTCATATTTTCCAGTGAAAACATGTAACCAGAGAACATATATCATGTAGTCATAGTTCATCAGCCAGTAAATCATTAAATCAGTGATTTCGAAAAATCGTGTTTTAAAACAAGTAAAACATTTACATGTCACATAAGGAACACACTAGAGTATCCAAGTATTTATCAAAGGCACTTGGTAGTTTATCATGAATGAAAAACATGAACTTATGCAATTTGATCGGATTCCAGGAACGATATCCTATTGAAGGGGATCGATTACTAATGGATCTAATCAGACATTTAGAGTTGATATTTTAAAATCCCGCTATGATCCAGGTGCATCAAGAAGGTGTTCATGAACCTTTATGTTGAATAAATTCTATATTTAGATTTATGGAGAGTGATTCTATTACTCAAACAATCTGGGGTATTCAAGATTTTATATTGAATTATCAGGATTTAAGTCTAATGAACCAAATAGGGTATTCAATATCTTTGCATCTAAGTTACTTGTGTGATCATATATAAACGGAGTTATTTGAACTGATAAAGGAGAAACGAATATCCAAGATATATATAATCTAAGTCGATCTATCAGATTATCAAAATAACTCGGGCTGAACAACTCCCAAAGCTGATGCATGTCGATTGATCAAATCATTGCCCTTCCATGGTATTCACTATATAATACCAACAATTCTTGTCTATATATATATATCATCTTCAAAATCATAGCTAAATATATCTTAAGGAGGCGAATGGATATTCCAATAGTCTTTATTCCATTTCCACATTGCAACATTATTAGGAATTGTCGACGTACTTTAATTTGTGGTTACAACCCTTAGGGACAATACAGCATGTAAAATTGCAAGTGTTCCATACGTATCCAAGTTATTCACTTAATTCAAGGTTATCAGGGGTACTTAATTCAATTAGTATTTAAAGCTATCCTGATCGCTTAAGAGTTTCCTGAGTAATTCGGTCGTTCCTCAAATTCAAATACATACAATACTTTCATTTCGTTTAAGTTGGTCAAATAATACAGTCTTAATGGTATTCAATGTTGATTTAATCATTTCAGAGTTAAGGACATTAATCATTTCAAGGCTTAAATACTTTAGGTCAGTTAACAATTTAGGGGCATTTTGGTCATTTTACACTTTAGGGCATTTCTATAAATCCAATATAGATCCAAAATTTAAAATCAATGATTCCAAGATTCAAGTGAATCAAGATATGAGTTCTCAAGTCTTCTCCATTATCATAATCATCCATATCGTTTTTTACTCTTTAAGGATATTATCGTACTTTCATTCAATTCCGTCAGTGGCATTGCTTCGGGTAACTTAGGCTTGAAAGTATTCCAGTTCCATTAAAGTTCAGAGTACTTGCACATTTGCTCACTGTAGGTTAATTTCACCACTAGGAAACGTCTTGATCCTTTTTCAGTACAAGGGCATTTTCATAATTTTACCCCTTATTATTGAAGTCAATTCAGTCATTATTGAATCACCAAACTTATTATTATTATTTCTGATTAATTTCCCATTTTCTTAAGTGATTCATATAAGTCCTATCCATTTACCGACATTTGATAGTATTCGGATCGAGTTTAGGAAATAATCACTATATACACGTGACCAATTATACTATCCATGCAAAAATCAATAATAACATGTTCCATAAAGCATGAAACAGGTAGTAATGTATTACCTCAGTTTTCGTGCCATATCGGTCGACCATTTAAACTCTACTCGATCACCCTCGAACCTGAATTCAACGTCTCATAATTCCTCAGATACAAAGCAAACAAATTTACGTCAGAAACTGAACTTAATTTATAAACCAACTTGAATCAGAAGATAAAACATTTAAAAAGGGCTTACCGATGCGAATTTGGCAAAACTGACTTCAGATTTGGACTCAAGACGTCGAAAAACATAAAATATGACTTTTTGGTCAACGGGGTACAGTCAAAGTCAACGTGTTGACTCAAACCGAGTTAACTCGGTGATTGGACCAGGAGGTCATGTCGGGTCGGATCAGACGGGTCAGGCATGTGGGTCAGGTTGACCCGGTTCTGGAAGTTTCCCTTGCACCCAAAACAAGCCCACGTGCACCTGGCGGCGCGTGCGGTGGCGACAGAGCCAATTTTGGGCGGCCGAATTCACCCTGCTCAAGCACTTTACAAACTCAATCCAACAACATCCAAAAATCAGTCAAATATCTATCGGAAATAGAAGAAAATATTCGAAATGCTTACCCACGCCAACGATCGGTGAAAACGGCGGCAATGCTTCGACCCACCAGTAGGGTTTGGAGCACGCGGAGGTACTGAGTTGAATGGCGTAGGCGGTGAGGCGAGTTGATGGCCAGATTGGTCGGAATCGGGAAAAAAAGCGGCGGCGACGGGGATGTTCGACGAGTTTTACGGCCTTGATTGGCGCCGATTGATGTCGATTTACGCTGCGGGGTGCTAGGGCTAAACTCATTGGTTGTCGACGGTTTAATTGGGGTAGAGAGAAGGCCAAATGGTGGTCGGATGGCGAGGCTTGGGGCCGGCGAAGATTCGATCGGGTGGGGGAAAATATTTTATGGATTAGATATATTTTGGGGATTTTTATTTCTTACCAAATTGAGAAAATCGAGTTTATTTTTCACCAATAATAGAAAATGGGCAAATTCAGGACTAAGCCCCTAAAATTTTTGCACTTTCTAAAAGTTATCTAAAAGTTTCAATAACCTATAATTTTACCCCCTAAATTGGGGTGTGACACATGTACCATAATTGATCATTTAATATTATATCATATTTTATAATAATATTATACATAAGCATAACATTATATGTATGTGTCAAATAGAACTCACCAAGTGACCTCAGTGGTAAAAGGGAATATTGTTCTCTCTAAAGATCATAGGTTCGAACAGCTGCGTCTGCAGGTTGTGTATACATTGTCAATTAATTAAAAAATTATAAATAAATGCTATCTTATATTTTTTATATTTATATTTTTTATATTATTTTATTAGAAACGGTCAAATACAATAGTTGGGTAATAAGTCTTGTGCATGTTGCTATCAATAATACACTAAATCTCTATCAATTTTGAAGATTTTAGCATAAGAAAAACTAAGGAAAGATCTTATTAAAATTCCAAACAAGAAGGACCATGTCCCTTCCCTTACTCCACGCCAAACCGCCCAATTTTTATGACCAATCACCTTCCAACAAATCTAACCCTAAATATTTTGTATCGATACTTGTTCTTTTCTAATTTTTTTCCCTAAATAATTCTTTAATTTGTCTTTTTATTTAAAATTTTGATGTTGAGTAGGCACATAAACTTCGAATATATGTAAAATCAAGTCTTATTCAATTAAAAATATTTGAATATATAGTTATAAGCATGATTTAATTAAAAAAAATGAATATATACTACTTTGTATTTATCTTAAAATATTTGAAAGACATAAATAAAATTAAAAATTGTACAAATAATTTCAAATTGCTATTGGTGAAAAATTAAATAAAAATTGACAGTTGAATCAATATAATTATTAACGAATTAATAAGGCCAAACTTTATAAATTTAATATCTTCAAAAGTGATTGTGCACTTCCGGACTTCCCAAATAATAAGTGTAAGAAATATGTTTTATTTTGAAGTCGTCTACAAACAAAAGATTTAATTTGTAAAGTTTAAAAGGTATAAAATATAATAATATGTTAAACAATAATTGATGTTTTCTAAACATTAAGTAACTTTTTAAAAACTTAATCTTATTTTTTTTTCACTAACAAAAAATTAAATTAATCCATTAAATAATAGAAACAATAGTAACTGCATATTTAGTACCCAATTAAAACTTTTGTTAAGTTTTAATTATCCAATTATATTTCTAAAATTATATCTAACGTTACTTTTTGTTTTTATTTTAATCATCCCGTTAAAAAATTAACAGAACTACTGACATGATATTTTTTTTATTTTTCAATGATGATATAACATTATCTTATGGTGACACATCAACATCGCCAATAAATTTTTAATGACGTATGATCAAATGAAACTAAAATTAAACGTCAAGTATGATTTTAAAAAAGAATAGTTTAATGACCAAAACAAAATAGAAGTGATAGTTGGGACACTATACATGTAATTTACCCTAAAAACAATAATTTTAAAAGATATCTACAATAATAGAATTGATTTGAAATACACTAAATTGATATATTTAATAATATAAGAACTAAATTAATATGTTCTCTTTTATAGAGGAGCCTAATATATAATTGGGTAAAATACATGTTTAATACTTAAATTATTATTTTTATTTTATTTTAATATTTAAATATTATTTTATTTCAAAATCATACTTAATTTAATTTAAATTTTATTTTGATAATTATCTTTAAAAATTGAAAAAACTACTAACATAACATCTTTTAATAATGATATTATATTATCTTATAATAACACATTAATATCACGCTTTAATTTTTAATGATGAAATACTAAAATAAAACTTAAATTAAACTTTAAATATAATTTTAAAATAAAATTAAATTTAAGTAATAAATGGTATAAAAATAATAATTTAAGTATTAAACATGTACTTTACCCTATTTAATTTCACCACCTGTCATTAATCTATCATTAGTTGTGAAATTCACTTATGAATGAAATAATAATTAAAGAGAAATAATTAGAAAACTTAAATATCCTTTTTTTTTACTCCGAGCATAACCTCATCACATGATTATCAAACACGCAATTCAGATGACAAATGTTATAATCATATGATCATCTCTGCAACTCCCATCATTCTGGAGAAGTCCTCGAAGCACACGAACCCATCTCCATTCTTATCAACACTCGCGATCATGAGCCGGCAATCCTCTATCGTGCACTTCTCATCCCCTATTTTCTCCCTGTAGAACGCCATCAACTCCTCCGCCGTGATCCTCCCGTCGTGATCCGAATCGAATATGTCAAAAGTCTCCCTCAACTCCGGTTCGCAAGCCGGTTCGTCGCAACCCGATCCGGCCACCTGGCTCGCTAAAGCTTCCAGGCTGATGCAACCATCGCCGTCTCGATCCATCTCGCTCAGCGCGGACGAAATCTCCTCTTGGCTCGGCGGCTCCCTGGAGAACTTGCTCAGCAAATCCTCCAGCTCGCTTCTCGTAATAACCCCGTCGTTATCTTTATCTACCGTTTTGAAAGCTTGGGAAAGTTGTAGATACAAATCAGCGGGATAATCAGACCAGTCACCTGATGTTTCGGGCAAAACGCTGGTGGGTGTTCCGGTGCCAACGGTGGCCGATGGAGGGTACTGGATTCCTTCGTGAACTGAAGAGACGGATTCCGACGAAGAAGAGGACGAGTATGTAGCCGAAGCCGAACTATACGATGAAGGGTCGAATTTGGAGACGTTGGATGAATTGTTTTTGTTAGATCGAAATAGACGTTTGGGGCTAAGTTTGTTGATGAGTTTCATGGTGAGAATGAAGGTGGAAAGCAAAGGAATGGATAATAGAAATGAATTTGGGAAGATGAAAGAAATTGAGGGGAAAGAGGGAAGAAAGTGGGGGGATTAAATGGTTGGGGAAACCCAACCTCCATTGCAGCTTCCACGAAACTTCGTCTCAGAAAATTTTCAACAATTTCTTTATTTATAAACTACTAGTATCTTTCGCATTACCTCTTTATTATCAGTACGTCTGTCATGTTTAAAGAGTTTCTAGATGAACTCTCTTTCCTCAAGTTGTATTCACATATTTAATTTTCGAGATTGGGGATTATTTTATTTTATGAATGGGATTAAAGAATTATTTGTTTTGAAAATGATTTAAGGACTAAAATATGATGAATGAAGATATGACGATTTTAGTGAAATTTAGATGTTCAAATCAAACAAGAGAAAAGATTAACTGTTAAAGGATTGATTAGACCAGGTAATGATTAGTATTAAATGAAAATATGAAGGTCTAGTTCTACGATTTCACCATTTTCTTTTGGTTTAATATAAAAGTAAATGTCTAAATTATACATTTTTTTTCAAAATGCTGCCTAGATTTTTTTTTTCAGTCAATTCAGGTGTTTAACGTTACAAATATTATCATTTTAGGTGTCTCAATCGTAATGGCTATTAGAAAACCTTGTTAAGTGATGTCATATTTTAGTAATTTAAATTTTTAAAAAGAAACTTAAAAAATATTATATTAAAAAACTCAAACTTCTCTAAAATTACAAAAAAAATTCAAACCCCTAAAATTAATCGTAAAAATTCTTAACCCTAATCTTACCCACTTCATTGTCGACTACGGTCACCGCCGCCATCGTCACCCTTGGCATCTCCTCGTTGGTCGTCCTCACCCTTGTCGTTGCGAGCACTTTCGGATCACTTAGGTGTCGTGAATTTTGAAAGTTTGGTTCATCGAGGTTGTTTTGTTCATCGATTATGGGTCGTCGTGTTTGGATGCTTGTCAGGTGGAGGTTTTGCTGGAGGTCCGATCGACGGCAACGTTGGCAAACGATGGCGGCGGGCGTGGATATAGGGATTAGAATGAGAGTTTTCAAAGTTTTGGGCATATTTTTTTAGGATTTCATAAACTTTTTTCTTTTAAAAATATATAATTTTATTTTTTTAAATATACTTTTTTGTATTTTTATAAATGTGAGAAATGTCACTTAACGATAAGATTTAGCGATTGTTACGGATCAGACATCGAAAGTGGTAACGTTTGTAGCGTTAGGCACCTAGATTGACCGAAAGAAAGTTTAGGCACCACTTTGGGAAAGATTATATAATTTGGGCACCTATTTTTATATTAAGCCTTTTCTTTTTGGTGAATGAGCTACTTAGGTGGCAATTTGTTTTAATTTAGTCCAATTTCTTTGATTCTTTATTTTTACAATTTAGCTTACCTTCTTTGGAGAGTTTATTCCACCGGTTTAGGAAAATTGCGGAAATAAAGGCCATTTTCCATCATCTTCAACCTTTAAAAAACATCATTTTCTCCAAAATTCATCGAAAATCCATTACTAAAATTCCTCCAAGCCGCTAAATTCATCAAGATTTCTAAATAATTTAGAAGAACAATAAGTATTTTCTTTGAAATTCTGAAAATGTTTTAGTCAGATCTTTTTCTTATCGATTTTTAGTTTAAAATACATTATTTCATTCTCTAACAATTGTTCTCGATTTTCCCCAATTCTTCTTGCTAAATCTTGATTTATGGCTTCTACCAACCTATTGATTTTTAATGATTTTGTAGTCCTTCAATTTGATTGGAAATTCTTTAATCTTTTTTTTTAAATCCTTAACCAAAATAAAAAATAATCAATGGTTTTACAATTAGGGTTTTTAATAAATTTATGAAAAACAATATTCAAGAATATATTATTAAAGAATGGTTTTAATCCTATTATATGAGATTTAGAGATGATTAGATCAACAAGTATAGTAAAAGATGGAGTATAGAACTGAAATTATGTTTTAACGACCAAAATAGCTATAATTTTTTGTTGTTAAGTCGAGATTAAGCTTAATTCGTTGTTTTGATTTGAATTTTATCGTTGAGGAAGGAGAATGGGAAAACACATCGTTAAAAGCTAGTTTTATACCAGAGTTGGATCAATGAGTCTTCTAGTATTCACATCTTCTAACGTAAAATCATGTGTCTGCTCCTAATTATTTGTTCCACCATATGTATGATTCTAAACATCAAGTGAGGGCACATCTTAGTTTAAAACACTATCTTTATGTTCCAAGAGTAGTTAATACTTCATTGTATTAATTAATTTAATGAATTAATGCCATGAGTAAGTATTCTTTGTTAATTAATTGCATTGTTGATGCACAATATGATAAATTACTGTTGAAAGCTCTTAAATTTGAGTATGATATGGTGTCATGATGGAAGGGGAGTTAGGGTTTAAAGGCTTTGATTTGGGGAAATTTAGAAGAAGAGAATCGGGGAGGCAACAGCAGAAATTAAGGGAAGAGAGAAGGGAATTAGGGATCGAAGGGGGATTAGGGATTGAAATGTTATCTGAAGAGAGAGAAAGGCTGAAGTATTAAAATGAGATAGGTTATACGGTATTGGGTATGGGTCAAAGGAATAATTGGGCTCTAGTTTACTTAGACCAATTATGCATATCAGTAGGCTTATTTATTTTAGGGTTTGAGTCTGTTCAAATCCAAAACATATGGAGAGATGAGTCAGCATTTTAGGTAGTCATTTTGTTAGACAGCTGGGAGTACTTGTTCATATATAATTGTACCCAAAATCTTTTAAGGATAATCTAATGAATGAGAGAACACGTTTTCTGTACCTATTTCTTCTATTTCTGAAATCCCTAGAAAATTTTTCTATCCTAAATCATAACAATTGGTAATCAGAGCTGAGTTTGGTGATCAAAATCATGTTCATGCTGGGAAAGACAAGAAAAATGCAAAAGACTGGAATCATAGAGGTACCAGAACAATCATGTTGAAAACATTTTGATGTTTCGATATAACAAATTAAAGTATAAATGAATTTTAAGATTTTACAAATGATTTTCTAAGTATATTCGATTTAATTAATTGAATATCAAAATATTACTCCAATTCTTTCAAAGATCAATTTCAATCCTTACTAAAGTGTAAAATTGTGTTTTTAATCTTAAAATATTTTTGAAATAATTTTCACAAAGTATTTCGAACCAAACACGAGCCTAAAATCAATTTTTTTCCAAAGAGTGTACCGATGCACCAATCCATGAATCGATGCACCATTGAATAAATTGAACATAGAATGCATTTTATGCATCGATGCATATACCATGCATTGATGCACTCATGCTTGTTTGAAACATCGAATGCACTTCATGCATCGATGCACAAAGGGTCTAACGGTCGAAATATTTGAATTTTACACATAGTGTACCGATGCACTAGCCTTATGCATCGATGTACCAGACGCTCCCAACTGTTTTATTAATTGTTTTCACACTTAAACGACTCTATTGACTCCACTAATCATCCCCCAACGTTCAGAATCAATTGAAGGAGTATTTAAACAAGCTTAGAAGCCATTGATCAATAACAAGAAACAACAAGAATCAAGAATTAAGAGAAAATCAAAGAGAAAACATCAAATCTCAAGTTTGAGCGTTTCAAGCCTATTTTTCATTCAATATTCATTTTTCTTTCAAGAACACTACTTGTACTCAATTGTATTAATTTTTTAGTGTTCTTTTCTTTGTTTTAGAATTGTGCAAACAATCTACCTTGTGAGGATTTCCTTGTAAGTTTACAAATTTGTAATCTTCTCTTTGAGAAAGAGTGTTCTCAAGAATTGAGGTATATTCTTGAGGGAGTTGTAAGGTTATCTCTTTTGCCTCAAAAGAAAGAACAAATTAGTGAATTTGTTGGAAAATCCTTAGTGTGGATAGCTAAAGTAGTGGACGTAGACTTTGGTTGAGAAAGTCGAACCACTCTAAATCGATGTGCAATTATTTTCAATTTTCTGCAAAAGCTTCTACCAAAATTTAATTGCCAATTCACCCCCCTCTTGGCCGATTCCATCGATCGATTAACTCAACAAATCAGCAGTGAAGGTTAAGGAGGAGACCTTACCATCTTGGTGGGCTGGGCAGAAAGCAGAGTTGGAAGAGATGATACAAACCTTAGAAGAATGAATGACTGAAAACAGAGGGTATTTGCATAGAATCTTATAGCTGGTCTGTAACACCCCAACCCGTACCCGACCCGGATACGAGTCCGACGTGTCACATTGACTTTTCAAACCTTGACTCTTAAGAAAAATCTCGGGAAATTTAAAACTTTATTTAAAACAAAATACAGACTTTATCAGAGTGCTCGTACTTAATGACTTATTACATGCCAACACTTTTATACATAACCAAATACATACTTTGTCAAATACTTCTGATCTGATCTTTTAGTAGTGATACTGTCTTTGCCACTTCTATTCTTTCACTTCTCGTTTCTTGGTACCTACGTGTAAATCACTTACACGCTAAGTCATAGACTTAGTGAGGCATATAAAACATATAATATAACCATATATCATTTCATATAAATAAAAGACATACATATGCAAACACTATCAATAATCCTTTCCACTTACCATATATCATATACACATATCACTATACCCAGAAACACACATAAATCATATAATTCATGTATGTGCATTCATATCATTGAATCATGACATATCAATATGCATGAATCTATTGTATGATAACAATATACAATCAGGTCATGCACACATGCAACTTACCTTCTTGTATCACTTTAACTTTCATTTGTCTTTCAATTTCATTGCCCATGTATTATTGAGAATAGAGGTATGTGAGTACATGAGGTTGTGCACTAATGTTGTCACCACAGCTCGTATAAATTCCCTCATGGGGCACCAAACATTCATTCAGTTGTCCCGAAGGGACCTGTCCAAAGGTTACAAAGAACCCGGTAACTATCCAGAGGTCATAAAGATCCTCGGCAACTATCCATATGTTCCTTTTAACATAGGTAAACCCTCGACTCTTGGCATGCCAACTATACCTGCATTTATTTATACATTTCGTATCACTTGTTCTTTCTCTTCTGTCACATA